TGGCCCTCCAAGACATCTGTTGTGCTGTTGGGGGAGAAGTCTGCTGATACGCCACTATCGCTCTGGCTGTCATCAAAATGATCCACCTGCATTCTGTTTACTTTTCCTTCTCCCAAATGAGGCTTTGTGTTTGACTGGGACTCTGCTCTCTGTCCGTTGTTTTCCCGTTCCTGTCTTTGATCTTTAACCTCCCCCAGCTGCTTTCCTCCGGTCCCACCTGTTTCTGTGAAACACACCGTTTGCTTTCGCTCTTCACCTGTTTCACCACCCTCTCTCTCCTCCCTTTTACTGTTCCTCCTCCCCTGTGGCATTATCAATGGCTCTTTTACTTCGGTAGAGATACAGGCAGAGTTAGCTTGCTCTGGATTGGTTGGCTCACCTGCAACTGTTTCTAGGGGCGGATCAGTACCACACACCTGTTGTACCACCTCATTCTCATTCAGACTGCTTGGGTTGTTTACCTCAAGCTCCCCCCGCTGGATGTTCTCGGCATTAACCACAGGATCAGTTGTGGATTCACTTTGGGTGCTTGATGAATGTTCGGTCTCAGAGAGAAGACATTTTGAAGAGCTCCTGGAATACGTCAGGTTTGATGGTTCATCACAACGACTGTCCCGTCTCACCCACTGATCCCTGGTGGTGGCGGCAAAGTCCACAGGTTTGCAGTCTATATTTTGCTCTTCACTGTTTTCTGATAGGAACACAATTGAGTCAGAGTCACCATGTGATTCAAGCTCATGTCCCTCTTCATTGGCCACGTTTGGTATTTGTGGTGAGCCTTTGTCTACCGGTGTCATGGTAACAGGTTCCTCACCCTCAGTATCATGCACAGATGCCTGAGCATGTTCCCTGGTTTCAGTGTTTTCCTTCACCTCATCCTGAATCTCAATGCCATGACACTCATTCCTCTCTGGTTGGATATCTTCTTCTAGTCCTGGCACTTGAGTCCACTCCTGATCACCATTCGGGTCATTTTCAACTGTACTGCTCAAGTCTTCCATTGTTGCCTCAATGGCTCCATCTGCTGGTGAGGAGATGGGATGATCGTGAGGTTGAGGAGAGAAACTGCTGTCCGGTGTTTTTGTTTTTTCTAACCCACTAATAGCTTCTTTGTCCTTCTTTTTCATGTCTTGCATGGCTGTTTCCCTATCATCAGTGAAGTGGAATTTTCCTTCTTCACTACTGCATTCATCCTGGGATTCAGATTTCTGAGGGCAAGTCACAGAGTCTGTTTCCATTTTGCAGTAGATCTGTATGAAATAAATGGCAAAATGTGTTATACAATAACAGAATGACAAGCCAGAAACTGGCTTCCTTTATTTGATTGAATTGGTATTCAACAAAGTTGTCTTTTTCTTCCCAGGCATACCTTACTGATTTTCTCACCCGTTCTTCATTTTTATGGCATAGAGGTGAGACCCATGAAGGCCTTTTCTTTGTACACTTATAGTTTTTTTTTGCTGATTTAGGAATCTATAATCAGATTATGTTTCAATCCCAGCAGCTCTGGAAGGCTAATACTAAATTGAGTTATAGTGTGACTGCATGGAACCTTTTTCACCGTTGCAGTCTGTTGCTGTTGGGTTTTTGTTTCACAATTCTTTGACCTAGATGTCTTAATCAAATTTATTAGGTCATTTATTCTTTAACGCCCATACCTCAGATCAGTGTCTTTTCACATTAAGATAGATCACCTTAAAATAGGTCACCTGAAACAATTATTTATAATATTTATTTTCATTTTATTAAATTTTTTTCTTTGCATCAGTCTACAGACAAGGCATTTTTTCTGTAACTGTTATCTCGTTTTGCTATAATGTTATTGTCCTGCACATTGATCCATACTGTTTTTTTTTTTTCATATTGGCACGTGACTTAGAATGATTAACAAAATTATTAAAGTTAGAAGAATATTAAACAGTGTGCAGGGTCAGGAGTGGAACTTTTTCCACCTTCACAGTCAATGAAGTTTCTTTCCATTCTTTAGAAAGTAAAAGTTTAACCAGGTCTTCTGAGAATTATATTTACTTAAATACAAAATCAGATCTCCATGTAAGTCAGGTAATAATTTTTTTTTGTTGACAATGACTTGATCATGATCAATATAATATTTGGACACTGTATTGCATTTTCCACTGGACTTAAAAGAAACACAAGGACTTAGAGGTGTGTCATAGCATAATGCTAATTACATAAGGAGCAGATTAATACAGTTTAATCAGATTATACTGTGGACATGAGTGACAAAACAACATGGAAAGTCTGATTCAGGAATAATACAGCAATAATAGTGAGGTATTCTTAGTGTCCTTATGAATTATAAAACACCCACAAAATATATAATAAAGGTTTTGAATGAATTTCAAAAGGATGGAAAAGATTGTTGTGAAAATGTAAATATTAAGTACGTAAACAAAACCTAGTAGCACAAATCTATTTTTAGCTACAGCATACGGAAAACTGCTGTCAGCATTCATAAATCACAAGACACCTACTTTATGAATAGCTCTCACAAAATGTGGATAAGTACGTTTCTTGCACTTAATGTGCTTCTAGGTAAAATTAGTAATGTGGAGGGCGGTAAATTAAATAATCCTGTAATATCCTATTGATGAACCCAAGCTGAAATTCCTGATATTGTAACACATATATACTACTGAATTAAAGAGCTACATCTATTACATGACCCATTCTAATACATAAAATAAGATGAAAAAGGAAAATAGTCCTACCAGCCGATGAGATGAAGGAAAGGATGGAAGGTCAGCTGAAAGACAGAAAGAACTGAAATCGTCCCCCTGATACACCAAGAAGTTTTGAAATCTGCCCTTTCTTTCCCTGGTTTCCTTCTCTCTTAAACTCTCTCTCAGTACCTCCACCCCCTGCTTAGTAATCAAGGTTAAAACGTGTGCAGTTCATTTCTCTCCTACTTCCACACTGCACTAAAGCTGTAGAGTAAACCACAGCCTTGCATCACTAATCCAAACAGCTCTCAAAGCTCTCATGACTGAAGCCAGGGTTTGAACAGGGGATCTCTTTATGAATAACTTGCAGATTCAACCACAATACTGCAGGATCTACATGTAGCCATAATACTTTTACTAATGTTCAATGTTTACATGACTGCATTAGATATCATGAACTAACAATGAACAATAATTTTACAGCATTTATTAAAGTTAATGTAAATTTTTACATATACATTTTGAATACATTTTAATTAACATTAATGTATTATGAATGAACACGAGTTAACAATGAAGGGTAGCATATTTAAGCATAATTACCTTTTTAATTAAACTGATTAATAAATGCCTGTTCATGATACTGAATGCATTAACTCGTGTTGAAAAATTTAAAATATTGTAAAGTGCAATGTAGCAGCATTAAAGTTAAATATTTAAATATAAATATGCAAAAGGTTCAAGCTATTAAATATTCAAACAATCAGCACTGCAACACTGAATATACAATATTCTTTTTCATGTTTCATGATAAAAGGACTGTTGCCATTGTTTTTTAAAGGCATTACTATTTGATTCTCTTTTATGCATTTATACATAACTTACAAAAGAATACTGTTTTATCTTTACATTGACAGCATATATATCCTCATTATATACCTCCTCAACTATTTAATGTTTTAATCTATTTTAAGATTAAACTTAAACTTTAATTTTAAGTAAACTTTCTATACAAAATCCGCACCGCTTCTCATTCAGCTCTTTATTTAAACTGTACAAACAGGCACTCAGTTAAGACACTGAGAATTTACATCAAACTTTCAATGAAAAAAAAAAATTGTTCATGAATTCAACTGAAAACTTTGAATATTGATTATTGGTATGTAACTTGAATCGCTGTCACACACAATTTAAACAGAGTTAATGAAAGACAACAGGAGCAGTCCTTATAGAAATGTCAGCTGGAGAATGAACCTAAAATTGCTAATAATGATAAAGCGGTTTATGCCATTTACTGTATACTGGTCAAAAGTATATCAAGTATTGTTAATAAGGTCACATTAAAGGGCTAGTTCACCAAAAATAAATTTAATTCTGTCATTTACTCACCCCATTTTGCTTTTATATATATATATATATCATAAAAAGTTGTTTTTGACCCTATTGAAACACTATTCAAAATATCTTGGGTGTTCTGCAGAAGAAAAACTTTCTTTGCAACAACATGAAACATAACTTTTCCATTTCGGGTGAACTATGCCTTTAAGGTCTAAAAACACTTCCATCGAGCAGTTGAAGGCACTGTAACAATAAAAGCAATCAAACTGAAACACACATCAAAAATAAAAAAATCTCTGAAGATGTTACAGCATGTATAAAATCACAGGTAACCATTCCCATTCCGTCTCTTTGCTGTCTCTTTGTTTTGAGGCATAAACAAGGCACACAAATGGTTTATAATAGAGAATGTCACAACTATTGTAGGATGAGAATTAATTACCCACGTGGGTTCATTCCCACAGTACTGAGAAAAACAAAATATTTTTATATGGTAGTGTTAAAACCGTCAAGGCCTCTGTGGGTCGGCAGCCAACGCTCTAGAGTCGCCAGACATAAAAACAGGATCATAATCAGACACCAGAGGCTGGGACTGCAACCAATGGTGACACATCAACAACAAAATTCACTTTTCCTAAAATCAGTTTTGATATTCATAGATGATAGGAACACCAAAGTTACTGAGTTTTAAGACTTTGATTGGCGAGGCAATGCTTTAATTCTATAATTAATAGAATATTAAAGGTTTTTCATGATTATGAAACTAATAAGGGAAAGAAGGGAAAGCAGACAGAGAAAAAAAGAAAGACAGGAAAAAAAAGAGTGCAAGTAGGAGAATCTGTTGACGTGTTGTGAGTTGTTGCTATGTGGTCGCTAAGGTGTTCTGATTGTTTTTTTGGCACATTGCTATGTTGCTAGATTGTTCTGGGTGGTTTTTAGGGTGTTGCTAGGTGGTTACTGCAACCAATGGTGACACATCAACAACAAAATTCACTTTTCCAGTCCTTTCCTGCAAGGCAATGTGCTTTTCAAATCTTCTTCTTACACAGAAAAGAGTTATGGGAATTCAATACAGTGAAGGCAATGCAAGTCTTAAAGGCTTCAGTTCATAATAAACACTTTGTGCTTTGACGCCACCGCAAAGCAGCAAGTTTACTGTAGATGTGAACAGCCGAAGATCAAAATATGAATGTCATGAAATACAAACTCTATATTCAGAGTAACAGACGAGATGAAAATGAATGGAGAATAAAAAAAAATCACAGTCAAACGTCAACAGATTGTTCACATGATCGAACAGCATTGGCAGGCTTTTTGTTTTGGTGCACTTGCGTCCTCTGCTCGATTTGGGGTGCTGGTTTCCAGCTGAGCCGCTGCTTTGGAGACGAGCAGAGGCTCTTGTTCAGCACGCTGTTTCTCGGTTTCTGCCTTGGTGTTGGACTCCGCCGTTTCTCCGGCGCCATCCAGTGGAACCTCCTGAAATTGGCTGAGCGAGATGCGCATGGCAGGCGTGACCTCCTCGTCTTTTGGGGTTTGTGACTCTGTTGTGTTTGCTTCGACTTTTGGTCTGATTTTTGGAGATGGCTGTGTTGTGGAATACATTGGAACATGGGATGCCTCAATAGCGCCATCTACTGTTACATTCTGGGGTTGCATATCAGTCGAATCTTTCTCCTCTTCCTCAAGATCTTGAAGATCTTTTGTCTCGCCTTCCACTGCTACATCTGTAACTATCTCAGCAGGAGGATCTTCAATCACGTCTGTCTGCTCTGGTTCAGCAGAAGCTTCCGGATGGTTCTCCATCTCTTCCTCAGCACCATTTTCTTTGGAGTTTCCGGATGTGTCTTCATTTGTAGCCTCTGTAGTAGGTTCTTGAGCAGTTTCGTCATCCTCCTCTGGGATTTCTTCCCCTTCGTCTGTGATGATGATTCTTTCTGCTCGAATAATTGCTCCGCCGTCATCATCCTCATCCACCCCCTGCCCGAGCTCCACCTCCTTGAAGCCAAGGAAGGTCATAGTTACACCACCAGCACCTAGTCCTTCAGCAGGGTGGCTGTTGAAGCCGTTAGCAGAAGCATGTTCTTCCTCTCCTGGAGTATTGTGTGATGTTTCTCCTTCCACATTTCCGTTAAGAGCAGCTGAAGTTGTTGTGGTGTCTGTTTCTGTTGTAACATCACTGAGCGTTCCTGCTTCCTCCGCCTCGTGATTTTCAGCATGCATAGAATCATCTGCAACAAAAACCAACAGTATGAATTTAAAATCAGTTTTGATATTCATAGATGACAGGAATACCAAAGTTACTGAGTTTTAAGACTTTGATTGGCGAGGCAATGCTTTAATTCTATAATTAATAGAATATTAAAGGTTTTTCATGATTACAGTGATTCTTTTCCTTTTCAGGATAATTTGATGAATAAAAATTTCTAAATGTATTTATTTTACAGCACTGATTTGAATTAGAATTTTTTTTTAATAACAAAATACATCCTTGCCGAATAAAAGTATTAATATTTTCAAAATGAAAAGAAAAGATAAAAAATGAATGAACCCTAATATTTAAACGGTTGTATACATATTATTTAATAATAAGAAATATTATTATAAATTGATTATTGATAATTCATCAACTTATTAATTCATCAATGTTAATTTATAACTCCAGAAATGTTACATTAAAATGAACCTAGATCAATAAATGCTGTAAAGGTATTGTTCATTGTTAGTTAATGATTTCTAATGCATCAGCTCATGTTGTCAATCTGAACCTTATTGTAAACTCTCACCAACTGAATTAACCAGGAATTAATTTAACACAGATTCACAACTATTGTTTTGTCAAGGATTATACTCTTTTGTTTAAGCAATAATCAAGTCTGGAATGAAGACAAGCCTGATGCTGTGTAACTGAAACAGACAGGCAGATGGTTAGCCTGGACACAGGTGCGGCACAGAGAGAGGACAGGTGGCACACACTCACCTGCTCCCACTGGCTCCACCACGACCTCTCCCTATTGGATGAACAACAGAGAAAAGGTCAACAGTCATCCTTAGAGAGGACACATCACACTCTTTAGCTCTTTAAACCATCTCATTCTGCTGCTTAATATTTAATTCAAGGCCATGGAACATTTATGGGTGGAAGAGCTCGTCTCTGATCAGCCTCCATTCTAGACTTGAGAAGTTTCCTTTCTAAGTGCATTAACATGCACACCAATATCCCAACCGTCTCCCAAATACTGCAGCACTCTGCTTACAATGTGATTTAGAGAAACACCATAAAACATTTATTAAAGGTATACTCACTATTTTTCCTCATTAAAAAGTTTTACACACAAAGAAAATAATATTTTTTATATACTTATAAAAGCAGTTTTATTTATGTCGCTTCATGTTCAGGTCACATGACCAGTTGAGTACGACTCACTTTAAGTATAGGAAACATTTGCTCATGGAATGAATTAATCATGGCTGATGGCAAATAGAAGCTGACATACATAAAAGTTACCCATTTAATTAATTCAATGAATATTAATGCCATATTCAGAACATTAAATAATAATTGTATTATGTAATAGTTTTGACATTAACTGAAAATTACAAAAGACTCGTTTCAGGTCTGTAGTGTTTGTGTCAGATTTGTGTGATTACACTCTGGTTAAAAATGCTGGGTTAAATATAACCAAGCGCTGGGTTAAAAAGGGACAAACCCAGCTATTGGGTTGTTTTGACCCAACGGTTGGGTTGTTTTGACCCAGCTGTTGGGTTGTTTTGAGTCAAAACAACCCAACAGCTGTGTCAAAACAACCCAAACGTTGGGTCAAAACAACCCAATAGCTGGGTCAAAACAACCCAACCGTTGGGTCAAAACAACCCAATAGCTGGGTCAAAACAACCCAACCGTTGGGTCAAAACAACCCAACCGTTGGGTCAAAACAACCCAATAGCTGGGTTTGTCCCTTTTTAACCCAGCGCTTGGTTATATTTAACCCAGCATTTTTTTAGAGTGTAATGTATAACTCACACTTCCTTTATTGTTGTAAATATCATAAATCATCTAATTCATGTGATGCTTTCCTTGTTTAACCGCTAATACTTTCTTTCACTCACTCTGATTGGATAATTAGGGGTGATCTTTCATCTTTCGTCAACTTTAGGGAAAAAATGGCTGTGTTCATTTACTAACAGACAGACACTTCAGCTTTTATTGCCACAAGGTGGAGTCACGCCAACACTATATGTTACATATTCAGTATTCAATGCAGACAGTATTTAATGAATGCAAAATAGTAAACACAAAAAACACAGATTTGATACTGCATGACCTTTCTTTGAGTCATCATAACTTTCCCCCCCCCCCAGTATTTTACCTTTAATTCTTATTTGGTGTCTCAGAGATATAAAACTGAATTAATGTACACACTGTAGCAGTTCACTGCTGCCAATTGTAAATTGACCCCAAACAGAAACAATAGAGGAAACTATCTAAATAATCTGATGGGAAATTTTTGAAATGTACTGTTGTTATTTTTACACTTTAGTCACTGGACTCCAAACTTAAAAGTCAGTAAAGTCAATCTTAACAGAACACGAGTGTTCACATCAGTTCCTGTGTGTCTGTATTGGTGAAGTATGAATATACATCAGTTAGGTTCATGTGCCAGTTTGAGGTAATTGCTTTTGAACTTAATTTGTCTTGAGGAAACACATACAATATTATAAGACCAAGACCCAGCTTAAAAGAATAATTCACACAAAAATGTAAATTTGCTGAAAATTGACTCGCCCTCAGGTCATACGAGATGAAGAAACAAACTCATCTACATCTTGGATGGCCTGAGGGTAAGTACATTTTCAGCAAAATCATTTTCATTTCACGTTCATATTCTGGTGAACTATTACTTTAATTAGAATAAATTCAATTCTATAATATAAGCTATAGTCTTAAAGCAGCCCATCACAGGAACTCTGATTCAACAGCCTTCAGTGTGTGTTTTTAAAGTCAAAATGTGTTTACTTGCGGTTCAGCTGACCTCCATACAAGGCTGTTTGCAGAGATGGGCATAAATACAACCAGTATTTATAACTTACAAATAAAAATACAAAATACTGTGTGGAAAAATGTATTTAAATACAAATACAGTATTTTGAAAATACACAAAATACATGTGAAATTGGCCATCCAATGTAGGCATTCCTATAGGCTGAAATCTATCTGGACCTATTCTAAATGCAAAAAAAACAAAAAAACATTTAGATATGTACAACTGCTCAGAAACTTTTCCATTGAATTGTTTCACTTTCCATTTTACATACCGCTTCCCTTCCCCTGCCCTGTAGGAAATACAAAACTAAAAAAACATTTAAATTTTTTTTTATTTTGGTGAACAATAAAACCAAAAGCTACTTCCTCTCATCGCGGTTTTCTGATGGTTTAGAGAACAATTACTCTGAGTTGCCCGACTGTCGTTTCACAGAATTATACAAAGGCGAGCAAGTGTAGAAAGTGTCAAGCAAGTGTCAAAAAAGCAGCATCCGTTTAGGGAGGAGTGCGCGCAGTCAGCAGGTTCGCGGTGTAGAGGCAGGCGAAAGTATAAACAGGGCTTCAACTGCACAAACCGCTTCCACTTCGAGAGAAAGCGGCAGCTGTGCGGTGATTCCACCGCTTGTCGAGTCCCGTGTGAAAGAGCCTTTAAAGGGTTAGTTCACCCAAAAATGAAAATTAGCCCATAAATTACTCACCCTCAAGTCATCCTAGGTGTATATGACTTTCTTCTTTCAGACGATTCCAGTTGGCGTTATATAAAAAATTGTCTTTGATCTTTCAAGCTGTTTAATGCCACTCAGCGGGTGTTGCATGCATCAGTCCAAAAGAAGTGAAATAAAAAGAGCCCATCCATAAAAAAAAGTGTCTCACACGGCTCCGCAGCGCTGAACTCATACGTCATCCGCCCGGAGCAGCTTCCGTGTACAATTGTTGGCGCAAGCTACATTAAAGTGATTATTACGTTTTGAATATGGATATTTTTCTTACAAAAACGCATCGATTCGCTACAGAAGGCCTTTGTTCACCCCCCGGAGCCGTGTGAGACACTTTTTTTTATGGATGGGCTCTTTTTATTTCACTTCTTTTGGACTGATGCATGCAACACCCGCTGAGTGGCATTAAACAGCTTGAAAGATCAAAGACAATTTTTAATATAACTCCGACTGGATTCGTCTGAAAGAAGAAAGTCATATACACCTAGGATGACTTGAGGGTGAGTAATTTATGGGCTAATTTTCATTTTTGGGTGAACTAACCCGTTAAACCAAAAGTGTGGGCCTACTTGTCAGCGTTCCACTCCGTCTTGGATCGCGTGCGCAAAAAAACTGCCTGCCAACGTGCGAGTGTGAATTTGAATTTCCTTTTGTGTCATACTGTATTTACACATATAGCACATCACACTCTATTACTCAACCATTCGTCCATGCTTCTTTTTCCACTCCAACGTTTTCCCACTAAAAGCTGCACATATATTTGCTTACCCCGATTGGCCTTTTTCTATGTAAACGATTTAGAAAAAGTTCAATCAATTCACACTTGATTGAACTATACACACTTTCTATCATTGCCACGGTATGTATTGTCATGTCACCCAGCCCTAACATACAGTAATGCTTTAAAAACACATTTGACAAGCTAGATGATAAAAAACAACAACCGATTAACTATCAAAACTGATTGGCTGACGCTATTTTTTTCCCTTGTTGGTGCTCTTTTATTCTTTCATGTTAACTGAAGGCAAATGGTGCACTATTTTAACTTTAATCAACATGAAAAATTGACCATGACATCCTCACCTCATCTAATTCCAGAAAAGTCCCTCACCCAATGCTGAATGGAGCTGTACAGCTGCACCTCACATGCATGAATGTTGGGGTTGAGGGGAGGGGAGGTGTCTGAACTAGTTGAAGCACAAAATCAGCACCCTGATAAAGAAGTCGACTGGCACATAGTATTTTATGTATTTTAAAAATACAAAAATACTAATCTTAAATGTATTTAAATGCAAATTACATTTGACTTTTTCCAAAGGCTTTAAAATACAAAATAGTATCTAGTAATATAGTATCTGACATACTGCCCATCCCTGGCTGTTTGTTGTTATGGTAACAAGTATAAAAAACAGACCTGACTTGCTGCTACTTATTAAATTGCTCATAATCATTTCAGAGAGTTGTGCATCTTATAGTAAACTGTGAACATGAAGCATTCATTCCGTGATCCTTCAGAAATCATTCTAATATTCTGATTTGGTGCTCGAGAAACATTTCATATCAGAGTTGTGCTGCATAATATGTTTTTGTGGAAACCGTGATACATTTTCTTTGAGAACAGCATTTATTGGAAGAACAATTTTGTAACATTATAAATGTCTTTACTGTCTCTTTTGATCAATTAAATACATGCCTGTTGTATAGAATTACCAATTTAAAAAATATCTTACTGACCCCAAACTTTTGAACACGGTTTCAAAAATGATTTAGGAGGTGAAAAGCTCTGACACAAGCAGACGTGTGGCGTGTTCAGCATTCAGACATGGTGTCTCACCTTATGTTGTGTCTGAGCGTCTGTGCCAGTTTGATTGGAACCGTCTTCAATGAGTTTCTTCAGTTTGGATTCTTCCTCTGCCAACTGCTCAGACGTCACCTGTAACCTAAAGCACATACACGCATGTCATGTTTTATAAGGTGGGAACCTACCATTGGCTTATGTTTTTCTTTAAGAAAACCAGTAATACTTTGTTTGAGACATATTTTGAATTTTTACACTTGACATTTCCTATTAGAAATTGTTTTATTTCTGGGAAGAGCAAAGTAGTGTTGGTGAAAAAAGTAAGCAATAATATTAACTTACTACATTTTCCAGTATCATTCCAGCAGTATAGAAAAAACAATACAACGTTTTTATTTATTTATTTGTTTATTGTCCACTCTATCATATGAAGTCCTGAATGTCTTATTAATTTTGTCCAATTGGTTCGTTTGGACATTAAAATGAGCTGGTTTACAGAAAAACGTTTCACTGATTAATTTGAATCCTGCACAGCATTATATGCTTTTGGTCACACTTTAGTTTGGGGACCAATTCTCACTATTAACTACGACGTTTGCCTCAATAAAATCCTAATCTGCTATATATTAATAGTAAGATAGTTGTTAAGTTTAAGTATGAGGATTAGGGGATCTAAAATATGGTCATGCAGAATAAGGCATTAATCTGTGCTTTATAAGTACTAATAAACCGCCAATATGCTATTAATATGCATTCTAATAAGCAACTAGTGAGAATTGGTCCATAAAGTGTTACCATGCTTTTTAGTAGCAACACACACACACACACACACACACACATAATGTTATCTTATCTTTCCTATGTTTCAGACTATGTTTTATATATATATATACACTGTAGTTTTATCAATGATATTTAGTGTAATTTATCAGTTCAAATGCAATTAGATCCTGATTGTTTCTGTGCAAGAATATTACTACTTTTGATTTCAGAAAATAAAACAAGAAATTAAAGGTTCCAGAATTTATTGTTAAGGATTCATCAGCACACATAATTCCAAAGCAATGATTCAATCCAAATGTAATAACTTGTTCTTCATCTGAAATGTCTTCCAAAATTCTATGTAGGCAATGTTTAAGCAAACTCTCATTCAGTCTGGCTGCATTCTGGCCTACTTTTCACGATCCTATCGATTCCCGTGCTACTATCCTGTTTCACTGAGAAATACATTATGGACGTAAAATGAGTTGTGAACAACAATTAACCTTTACTTTAAAAGGCTTAGATTATGCCCCTCTAAATGGCTTCAGTGTACTTTTTATTAGTAGCTTTTAGTGTAGCTAAAAACCTTTGCTAAAGTGTAGCTTGCCTGTAGTCATGATTGTTCTGACAACCTACAATTTCAAAGGAGCTTCCCCAGCAGGGTCCCAGAATATACTGTAGGTTTTTCAGGATTTATTATCAGACAAACAAGATGCACAAGTGAGCCTGCACTCACGTGGACTCATTTACTCAATCACAATCCTCTCTGGAAATCACAGCATGCTTTACAGTTATATAAAACTGCATTGTAACAAATACAGGCATTAAAACGAATCACTCCTCATAGGATGAGAGGCCTCAGACGACTGTTTACACACCATGAAAGTCCCTATAGAGCTGTGAACAGCTTATTACTGCCAAACTTTGCTCTGACTAATTAAAGCCCTGCTTCAACACAGAAGAAGATCTCAGCGGCCAGCTTATTGCAATAATCACCATCTCCTTCAGTCAAGCAAATAAATGCTGATCTGCAAAGCAGGAACATCAAACACTCCTTCTCACTCACACACGCGAAAATAGAAAGATATTTTGGGGGATAAAAACTCATCACCTGCTTGGTGCTCCAGTAATTTGGCAGGAATAATTAGAGGTGTTTGTTTGCAAAGGGAAGCATACTCTATGTATGATTAGAGATTTGAACAAACCCCTAAGTGTTAAACTGATCTCATACGGCAATATATACATAATGCAGTTAAGTGCTAATGGAAGAGTTTTTGTTTGCTTGTTTGTTTTGTTTTACTGTTTTTGGTCAGGGATTTGGCAGTTGTGGTCAGAATTATTAGCCCCCCTTGGTACAGTAAATATGAGCAAAGATGGCTGTAAAAATAAATCTGCATTGTTTATCATACTTTTTTTTCATTTAAAAAATTAGCAAAAATCTAACATTTCATTAAAATAAAAATAATTAATTTAATGAATTATCTAAACCCACATGTACCAATACAACAAAATATGTCCCTAATCTTATTCGTATGCCAACTTAATTTTGCAATACATCATGAACACAATAAGTACTGTAACGAAATCATCCACTGAAGGCGAGTTGAAGTGAGAACCCAAGTGCAGTTTATTTACAGAGTGATCCAAACAATATCCAAACAAGATACACAGACTTGACTTGACTTGACGAGGCATGAACAGACTTGACTTGACATGAACAGACTTGACTTGACGAGGCATGAACAGACTTGACTTGACATGAACAGACTTGACTTGACGAGGCATGAACAGACCTGACATGACATGACATGACATGACATGACATGACATGACAAACACTCCTTCTCACTCACACACGCGAAAATAGAAAGATATTTTGGGGGATAAAAACTCATCACCTGCTTGGTGCTCCAGTTATTTGGCAGGAATAATTAGAGGTGTTTGTTTGCAAAGGGAAGCATACTCTATGTATGATTAGAGATTTGAACAAACCCCTAAGTGTTAAACTGATCTCATACGGCAATATATACATAATGCAGTTAAGTGCTAATGGAAGAGTTTTTGTTTGCTTGTTTGTTTTGTTTTACTGTTTTTGGTCAGGGATTTGGCAGTTGTGGTCAGAATTATTAGCCCCCCTTGGTACAGTAAATATGAGCAAAGATGACTGTAAAAATAAATCTGCATTGTTTATCATAAAATAAAAATAAAAAAAACGCAAAAATCTCAACTTTCATTAAAAAAAAAAAAAAAACTGAAATTGGGGGAAAGATAACATTTTTCTCCAATACACATTGGCCACAACTATAAGCACCCTGAAATTCTTATGAATAATATGTCTCAAGTATATTCATTCATATTTACATTTTAAAGCACACCAGTGTGACTAACATGAATCAATTGTCCAGCCATGACTTCCTGTTTTACATGAATATAAATATGAGGGAACACAAAACACAAATTCCCTTGATCGCCCAACACAATAATTAAAACCAAAGAATATAGTTATGATGTGCCGCAAAAGATTGTTGAGCTTCACAAAATAGAAAGTGGCTGTAAGAGTAGTAGTATAATTCTATTTAATGCCATGTCAGCATCTGGGGCTATTTTCATGGCAAAAACTCAATTACAAAAATGCAAATATCACAAATACAATAAAAAGATTTGGCAGTTGTGGTCAGAATTATTAGCCCCCCTTGGTACAGTAAATATGAGCAAAGATGGCTGTAAAAATAAATCTGCATTGTTTATCATACTTTTTTTTTTTTTAAAAACGCAAAAATCTCAACTTTCATAAAAAAATTTTTTTAAAAACTGAAATTGGGGGAAAGATAACATTTTTCTCCAATACACATTGGCCACAACTATAAGCACCCTGAAATTCTTATGAATAATATGTCTCAAGTATATTCATTCATATTTACATTTTTTAGCACACCAGTGTGACTAACATGAATAAATTGTCCAGCCATGACTTCCTGTTTTACATGAATATAAATATGAGGGAACACAAAACACAAATTCCCTTGATCGCCCAACACAATAATTAAAACCAAAGAATATAGTTATGATGATAATATGTCTCAAGTATATTCATTCATATTTACATTTTAAAGCACACCAGTGTGACTAACATGAATCAATTGTCCAGCCATGACTTCCTGTTTTACATGAATATAAATATGAGGGAACACAAAACACAAATTCCCTTGATCGCCCAACACAATAATTAAAACCAAAGAATATAGTTATGATGTGCCGCAAAAGATTGTTGAGCTTCACAAAATAGAAAGTGGCTGTAAGAGTAGTAGTATAATTCTATTTAATGCCATGTCAGCATCTGGGGCTATTTTCATGGCAAAAACTCAATTACAAAAATGCAAATATCACAAATACAATAAAAACCAAACAAACAAACACAGCAAGTAATATTATACAAGATTTTTTAAAATTAACATATGATAAAAATTCTAAAACCTTTTCAGGCAAAACCTTTCTAAACAAGACCTTCATAACTTCATAAAAGAGCTTTCTACTTGCATTAAAACCGGGACAGTCCAAAAGAATATGTTTAATAGAAAGGGGGGTCTTGCAGAACATGCATAAAGTTGGGTCTTCACCTTTAAGCAAAAATGCCTGAGTCAGTCTTGTATGACCTATATGACATCTGGTGAAGACCAAATGATCAAATCTGGTTTTAGGTGAGATTAAAAATCTGTTTGAGATTTCCGGATGGATTTCATGTAATATATTATTTGTGCACGTATCCCACTCTTCTAGCCACTTATTGATTATATACTGGCTGTAAGAAAATAGCTAAAGCATTGAAAGTTCCCGTTTCCACCATCATGGCAATTAAGAATTTCCAATCAAGGAGAGACCCAAGCCATATACAGAGAGCAGAATATCACAGAGAAATCTTGATGGGCTCTGTTGACTTGGCCCGGCAAGCAACCACCCAAAACACACTAGCAACCATCTAGCAATGCACTAAAACACTCAGAGAACCCTTGTAACTGTGTAGAAACATGTTTAAAATACTCAGAACAACCTATAAACTGTATAGCAATGTACTAAAAACAATTCAGATCACCTCAGCAACCACATATGAATGCTCTGGCAACCATCCACAACCTCAGGGTTAAATAAAATATGAAAAATTAAAAATCGTACTTGTTAATGTGCGTCTCCATCTCCTGAACCTTAGGGCCCCAGAGGGGCGATCGGGGTCCCGTACTGTCAGGAGATGCAGGAGGTCCTTCCATCAGCCACTGGTCTCTGAGGGACTTCCTCTGTGAGAGAAACAGGGACAGGAGGAAGAGGTAATTAATGCGGCTGACACATTTAAATAGATTTCTTATCAGCAATAGCAATGTCCCTACTACCCACCACTTTTTTTTTTTGAAAAGTTGCAAGTTGTTTGATATGTTCTACTTCAACATCCTGTTTCAGCAGGAGACAATACAAAGAAAAGAGAAAAGTGTTCGTCTAACCATTTCATGGTGTCTTTAAATTAAGAAAAATCTGAAGAAAATGCACTTGAAGTGAATAATTCTGCTGCAAAACATCCTATATACAATTTAGAGAATGCCAAAAGGTAAAATTCGAAAATGAAATTTCCTGCTGAGCGTAATGTACTTTCACTCCTCTGCTAATTCCACCTCCAACAGCAAAAACAAGTACCAACACATTTCTATATCAGGACCATCTAGAGTGTATTTCACTAATAAGAAAACACGGCTGTGTCTATTCTGACATGTAACTCCATAACGTGCACAAAAGTGCAGCCACCAGCTGCCACACAGGATGTGATGTGCACCATGGAAACTGAAAATATATGAGGAGTAAGATAAGTAAGATAACACAAGACAGCAGTGGCTGTGAGATTAAACTTTATCTACTTGCATGATTTCATTATGATTATGAACCCCAAATACAAACCCTACAGACACATTTTATGCCACATTTTAAGGGCGTTTCTTGTCCAATGGCCACTTTTATGTCCCAGTGGTTGGTTTTAATAATACTGATTTCAAATTCATTGTGATCACATTTAAATTTAGAAACTTGTCACAATTCCTTAATTTAGTTTTTCTACTATTCAATTGCCTTTTATGTAAAGATTTTATAGATATCCCTGACCCAGACTTTCAATCTTTAATATTTTAAAAGATATTTCATATTTTAATATTAATTTAATATTTTGATAAACAGTGAAATAATCATAAGCCATACTGATAGGCTATATATTATCTGAAAATTAATTTGTAAACAAATTTCATGTCTAAAAATTTTGACAGATAATGTTTCATCAGAAGTTAGTGGACTCATTTGACACAACAGTATATGGAAGCCAATTTCTGCCACATAAGATTATGATTATGATTAATTACTGACATAAAAAGTTAAAATGGTTACAAGTCATAATGACAAAAAAATTAGACTTTATATTACATAATTGTTTTTTTCTCATTTCGACTTGTCATAATTTCAACTTACCATCATCAATTTTACAAAAATGCAAATATCACAAATACAATAAAAACCAAACAAACAAACACAGCAAGTAATATTATACAAGATTTTTTTTAATTAACATGATAAAAATTCTAAAACCTTTTCAGGCAAAACCTTTCTAAACAAGACCTTCATAACTTCATAAAAGAGCTTTCTACTTGCATTAAAACCGGGACAGTCCAAAAGAATATGTTTAATAGAAAGGGGGGTCTTGCAGAACATGCATAAAGTTGGGTCTTCACCTTTAAGCAAAAATGCCTGAGTCAGTCTTGTATGACCTATATGACATCTGGTGAAGACCAAATGATCAAATCTGGTTTTAGGTGAGATTAAAAATCTGTTTGAGATTTCCGGATGGATTTCATGTAATATATTATTTGTGCACGTATCCCACTCTTCTAGCCACTTATTGATTATATACTGGCTGTAAGAAAATAGCTAAAGCATTGAAAGTTCCCGTTTCCACCATCATGGCAATTAAGAATTTCCAATCAAGGAGAGACCCAAGCCATATACAGAGAGCAGAATATCACAGAGAAATCTTGATGGGCTCTGTTGACTTGGCCCGGCAAGCAACCACCCAAAACACACTAGCAACCATCTAGCAATGCACTAAAACACTCAGAGAACCCTTGTAACTGTGTAGAAACATGTTTAAAATACTCAGAACAACCTATAAACTGTATAGCAATGTACTAAAAACAATTCAGATCACCTCAGCAACCACATATGAATGCTCTGGCAACCATCCACAACCTCAGGGTTAAATAAAATATGAAAAATTAAAAATCGTACTTGTTAATGTGCGTCTCCATCTCCTGAACCTTAGGGCCCCAGAGGGGCGATCGGGGTCCCGTACTGTCAGGAGATGCAGGAGGTCCTTCCATCAGCCACTGGTCTCTGAGGGACTTCCTCTGTGAGAGAAACAGGGACAGGAGGAAGAGGTAATTAATGCGGCTGACACATTTAAATAGATTTCTTATCAGCAATAGCAATGTCCCTACTACCCACCACTTTTTTTTTTTGAAAAGTTGCAAGTTGTTTGATATGTTCTACTTCAACATCCTGTTTCAGCAGGAGACAATACAAAGAAAAGAGAAAAGTGTTCGTCTAACCATTTCATGGTGTCTTTAAATTAAGAAAAATCTGAAGAAAATGCACTTGAAGTGAATAATTCTGCTGCAAAACATCCTATATACAATTTAGAGAATGCCAAAAGGTAAAATTCGAAAATGAAATTTCCTGCTGAGCGTAATGTACTTTCACTCCTCTGCTAATTCCACCTCCAACAGCAAAAACAAGTACCAACACATTTCTATATCAGGACCATCTAGAGTGTATTTCACTAATAAGAAAACACGGCTGTGTCTATTCTGACATGTAACTCCATAACGTGCACAAAAGTGCAGCCACCAGCTGCCACACAGGATGTGATGTGCACCATGGAAACTGAAAATATATGAGGAGTAAGATAAGTAAGATAACACAAGACAGCAGTGGCTGTGAGATTAAACTTTATCTACTTGCATGATTTCATTATGATTATGAACCCCAAATACAAACCCTACAGACACATTTTATGCCACATTTTAAGGGCGTTTCTTGTCCAATGGCCACTTTTATGTCCCAGTGGTTGGTTTTAATAATACTGATTTCAAATTCATTGTGATCACATTTAAATTTAGAAACTTGTCACAATTCCTTAATTTAGTTTTTCTACTATTCAATTGCCTTTTATGTAAAGATTTTATAGATATCCCTGACCCAGACTTTCAATCTTTAATATTTTAAAAGATATTTCATATTTTAATATTAATTTAATATTTTGATAAACAGTGAAATAATCATAAGCCATACTGATAGGCTATATATTATCTGAAAATTAATTTGTAAACAAATTTCATGTCTAAAAATTTTGACAGATAATGTTTCATCAGAAGTTAGTGGACTCATTTGACACAACAGTATATGGAAGCCAATTTCTGCCACATAAGATTATGATTATGATTAATTACTGACATAAAAAGTTAAAATGGTTACAAGTCATAATGACAAAAAAATTAGACTTTATATTACATAATTGTTTTTTTCTCATTTCGACTTGTCATAATTTCAACTTACCATCATCAATTTTGACCTTTTTGTCATAGACTTAATTTGAACTTTTAATATCATCATTGTGACTTAATATTTTATTTCAATTTTATCTCATAATTATCGTTTACAAAAACTGATTTAAAAAAAAAAATAATAATTTTTTATCTCATGTGGTGGAAAAGAGCTTTCATACCAGTAAGTGAAAATCATGAAATAAAATTTGAGCAGTCAGAAAATAAAGAGAAGTCAACATAAAGCTGTCATTTTTTTCAAATGATGTAAAAAGCGTGAAAATATTACTTATATATTATTTATAAATATTACGATTTTTAATTTCCTTATAAGAATATTTATGAATGATTTAATTTGAGATGTGGTGGAAATTATTGCAATGCTTCAGAAAAATGACTAATGCTGTCAGGCATGTATTACACTATGCTGTGATGATTTATATACACAGTTGAATATTATTAGTGGATGTGAAATAACTAATAGTGTGAGTGTGAAAAGCTTGTTTTAGGATATTTTTTTTCCCCCAAGGACAAAAGGGCCCATAGTTGTGAAACACCCATAAATGTACACACACAGTGTATGAAAAATTTGTCTTGGAACCAACAGAGTAGGAACACAAAGGAATAGGAAGAGGGAACGCCAATCTGGAAAATTTATGGAAACAATGGGGGGAGAGAGAGAGAGAATGTACACACACACACAAACACATGTCAGAGAAAGCATAAAATCCTCCAGGATAACATTTCAATTCTTAAGAAGTGTGTGTGTGTGTGTGTGTGTGTGTGGCACTGGTGACTGTATGAATTTGTGTGTGTATGTGTGTGCAAATAGGCCTACATTTGTGAAATTCCACTCCATGATAAGCCTACTTAACACAAAGTGACCTGATGTGTCCTGGTGCAAAACAGGGTCACAGGTCGTGCAGGCAAGTGTGTGTATGTGTGTGTGAGAGGTCACACCTTCAGCTGCTGAAGTCTCAGTCTCTCATCCTCAATCTCTCTCCTGGCTCGCTCCTGTTCCTCCTGGATCCGCCGTTTCTCCTGAAAGCAGAAAATATCACAGACTTGAAGTATAGTTAAAACACCTTTTCAGAATGTTCACACACAACCTAACATGTTCCTTCCACGCACTTTGCTTTAATGCAGCTTCCAGCTGGCTTGATACTTCAAATCTCAACTTCTTCTGCACTCTTCAGTCTGTCACATTGACAGATAAAGTCTTCAACACTGATAATATTTGATAGAATGATTTCTGAAGGATCATGTGACACTGAAGACTGGAGTAATGGCAGCTGAAAATTCAACTTTGCCATCACAGGAATATATTATATTTTTAAATATATTAAAATGGTTATTTCTAATTGTAATAATATTTTAATGTAATTAATAATATCTCAGTGTAATAATTTCAATGTTACTGTATTTTGATCAAATAAATCAAACTACTTCTTTCAAAACCATTAAAAAAATCTTGCACACCCCAAACTTTTAAATGGTAGAAAATCACCAAATATTTTATATTATTTTTTAATAACCAAAAGGTTTTGGTTACATTTTGTTCCACAGCCTTGAAACCGAAATAAAATATGTGATACCTCTTATTTTAATGATAAAGATTTTCCCAAACAGTGTATAGTATATGTAATTTTAATATGCAAAAAAAAAATCATATTATTCATCTCTCCACCTGGATTGTATTTCTGAACCCACTGTTGTTCTCTGTAACCATAAGCTTTCCATGTTGGTGCTACGTAAGTTTAAATGGTGAATTTTGGACATAATCAACCACTGAACCCAAGTGTCATCATGACTTGAAATGAATACTAGACTGCATTCAGAGGACATGAATATTTTGTATGTCAGCAAGCAGGTGAAGAGACTCTTGGGTAGAGCGTCATTGCTGTTGGTGTAGTTTTACGTGGTCTGGACAGACTCCATCACTTAATAATTCAGAATGAGTCGTGAACACATCTAACACCAGTTTCAATGCCTGTGTGTGTGTTTGTGAGAGACATGCTGTACACTTTTAAAAATAAAAGTTCCTTCTTGGCATCTATGGATCCATGAAGAGCCTTTAACATCAGTGGAACCTTTCTATTGTGCTAAAGGTTCTTTGTAATGGAAAAATAATATTTAAATGATTAAATTCTCCTTCACACTAAAAACATGTTTCTTTGAAGAACTGTACACTGAAAGGTTCTTTGGATAACCCAAAATTCTTCTATAGGATTGCTGTCAAAACCCCCTTTTGAAACCTCTATTTTCAAGAGAGTACAGTACAGTCTATTTGTTATCATGCATGCTTCTATTAAAAGCACACTTTATAATGGCTACCTCTGGAAGTCCACAGGTACAGCAGCAGATTCTAATATGATGGATGTCTCTATATGTTTCCGCGTGACACTATTTGCAGGGCTTAAGCTGCGCTGTCATTTAAATGGTAAATTAATCCACTGCATGCTCTTGACCGGTTCGCTTGTCATAAAATGATATATGAAATACAATCATAGCTTGTGTCGGACGTACCGCTATAGCCTTTAGTCGCTGCTGGTACTTCTCTGCTTCATGTTCCATCCTGGACCTGGAATATAAGAGACTGCATAATTAAGTTTATTTTAAAACAGTTTAAATTTTACTTTTAAACCCCAGTTATACAGAGAAATAAACCTTGCATGAGTTATTTAAAATAGCTAAATAGTTTTATACATCCATCATACACACAGTCGATTATAGTGAAATATAAGGGATTTGTGGAATCAGGAAATGATTATACTTTTTAAGAAATTTGCACTTTTGCAAAAATGAAATTTTATAAAAGTTACAGTAAACACATTTATAATGTTACAAATGACTTGCGATTTCATGAATGCTGTATAGCAATGACAGCTGTGAAGACTTTTTGCATACTAGGAGTCAGTTTATGTTGATATTGAGGTGAAATTTCATCTTGCGCTTTGTTATTGGCTTGTAGCACTTCTCATAAAGTGCTTTCACAGAACAGCTTACTGAGTATTATGGATAGATGAGTCTAAGTTTCTCTTTCTAAGCATGTACCAGCAAATCTTTATGTTCTGATAACGCTAGAGTTTAGTGTGTACTTCTCAGTGAAGCTTCTACTGTAGCTGACTCTGATATATCCTTGTCTTGTTGACGTCCACTTTTTTCTCTCTATTCTGTTTAGATCCTGTTTTTTTTTCTTTCAAGATAGTAGTGCATGGAATAAAACAACAATGTATTTGCATGTGAAAAATTGGCCATTTCTAAAACCAAACTTTGACTTGAAAGTGTACAGTGACTTTAAAGAAATGCACAGTACTTTTCAAAAGTTTGGGGTCAGTACAATTTTTTTTGCATTTTTTAGTGTAGCTTAAAAATAAAAGCAAATAGCTTTTATTCAGCAAGGACACATGATCAATAGTGTCAGTAAAGACTTTCAAAATTGATAATATTAAAAAAAAAAAAATTCTTCAGCAGCAAATCAATGTATTTGAATGATTTCTAAAGGATCATGTGACACCAATGATGCTGAAAATTCAGCTTTGCATTACAGGAATAAATTGCAATACATTTTAAAATGTATTAAAATAGAAAAGAATTATAGTAATGTTTCTCACATTACTATTTTTACTGTATTTGTGATGAGTAAATGCAACTTTGGTGAGCAGAAGAGACGCATATGAATAACAGATTTAAACCAGCTTAGTATTGTTACAATGTCAGTAGTATAAGTAAATGGACCGTGTACCAAGATATCCCTATACATTTGTCAGCAAAAGTCCACCAGGTGATGTAAAACACATCATCCAGCATGCTTTTGACAGTGCCAGCCTGCCAGGGTTTTCATAAAACCTACAGATCGTACTTCAGCGTTTTTTTATCTCCACTCACAGATAGTCTGGATAAAGCCCAGTGCATTGTGGGTGTTGAAGTTTTCCTACCTTTTTCACCACAGCCCATTTTTTCCTGTTTTCTCTAGTCATGGATCATGCCAGGTGCATGTTTCTACTGCACAGACAGCCAACTTTTATTAAAACCCAATGTTGCCAGCAGTAAATTAACCCTTTAACTGATTTTTTTTTTCTGGGCATTTATACCAGTTCATGCATTTCCTAGAATTCAAACGCATATATTTAATATTTTATATATATTATATATTGACTGAGCAAATATGAAATGTTTTCAGTAAGATATTTCATAATCCTCAAAGCTGTCTTACAGGCCTGAAGTGCTAACGGAGAAAACGGTTCAACACAAGAATTTCACTTTCAGCTCTCAGCGCTGAGAACAGAAGCTGTGTGTTCTCTTCAGGTCACGTTAGACTCGGCATACATGAACACACACAGATCGAGTCGTTTGATCCTCGTTGATGTTCGTACCTTGAACACCCTGCATGCGAGAGTCTGTTTCTTGGGGAGGGAAAAAATATGGGTGTGTATAATAAATATATGGAAGTGCAAAAGCTAAACAGAATAAACCCACCTTTGTTTGAGTTTGTGCCAACGAATACAGCCGGACAAGTAAATACAAGAAGATTAAACAAAACGCTTCTCTTTTCTTTCTGACTGGCTTGTTGCGGAGCTTGTTTTGAAACAGGTTGTGGAGACCTCCGGGTTTTTATGGCAGGGAATCACAGGACTTATAAACTCTATGTCAAATGAGGCCTTGACTGTGACAAAGAACCTTCCTGTGTCTCTCATGCGCTTTGCGAGTGGGGAGAGATATGCTTTTACCAAGAATGAAAGTGTTTACTCATCTTCTTCCCCAAGGCTGATGGGTAACTTCCAAACTGCCGCGAGGGGAACAGGCTGCCTCATCAGAGTTCTGGAGACAAACTTTGCCGAGAATAGCACAGAGGAATAAACAAAAACGAGCCTTTGATGATTCACTCTCTTCAGGTCTCAATAGAAAGTTCAATGCTAATTAAAATGTGGAGCTATGCGTATCCGTCAGGCACAAATAAAAAGAAGAGGAAAAGAGAGAATTAAAGACGAAAAGAGAAAAAAAAAATGCAACAGAAAAGGCGAGAAACAATGGGCTTCTCTGCTTTCTCATTCACACCCGTCATCAGGTGTGTCCACCCAAGCTGTTGCTATGGCAACGGACCGCCATCTACACCGGTACAATGACACCAACACCCATTTAATTACTATTGTGACCTGGAAACTCATCCCGGAGGGCTAAATTATATTACGATTATATAATATGACAAACACTTCATATTTTAGAACAGTGGTGTATAAAGTACCTGAAAGCCATACTCAAGTAAAAGTACAGATATCGTACCAGAAAATGACTTTGGTAGAAGTTAAAGTCACCGTTTAGAATATTACTTGAGTAAAAGTCTTAAAGTATATGATATTTATTTTACTTAAGTACGAAAAGTATTTTTTAAAAACAAGTAATTGCAAAATGGAAAAGAAGCAAATAAATAAATAGAGTTATAAAAAATGTTCATGAATTGTCGAAATGTGAAATTAAAACCGCCAGTAGGTGACAGCAAGTGACTGTTAATCAGTGAGTCATTGAGATTCAACCGATTCATTCAAACAACTGATTCATTCAGAAACAAAGCATTTGACTGTGTTAATGAGTGAATCACTGAATCATTTATTCAACCGATTCGTTCAAAAAGCTGATTCATTCAATAAGCAAACACCGTCCATTACTCAGAGACGCAAAAAACAGTGCTGTGATCTTTGTTTGGAACTATTTTCGTTGGCAAAATTGAGCAAAAACAAGCAATATTATGTCTAAAATGTAAGTCACTTATTGCTTTACTGAACTTGTATAAAATGATTATTAAATGTGTTCATGCTGATATCTGCAGAAAAACGGTACTCTTTGTGGGATATAGATTAAGTTAACTATATTAAATTATATAAAGATAAAAAGCATACAGAAGCATTTTTGCCGTCTACAATTTAGAATGCCTGGAATTTCCAGTTTCAATAGACTAATCAACGTGCGTGCATAAGATATTATTAGACTTCATTTGAGAAAATATCTTGAATTATTGTCTTACCCCAGTGGCAAACAGATCATGTTTTAAGCAGAAACCTCACAAGATTTTGTTATATATTTATATTAAAGGGGTGGTTCACTGGTTTTTTTCTAGGCTTGGTTGTGTTTATGGGGTGCAGTCTTACTAACGTTAAAAAAAGTTACATCGCAATGAACCACACCTTTAATGGGGGGTGGGGGATTGGATTAGATATGTTCTCTGAAAACAAGTCTTAATATCTTAGGGGCTGTTTACACGACACCATTTTCAACTAAAAACAGAAAACTTTTTATACTAACTTTTTATACTTTGGATTTCATTTGCACAACAAGTGCAATTTGGGAACCTAAAAACAAACTTTTGAAAAATGGGTGAAAGTTTTTGAAAATTATACCGTTATCGTCTCTGTGTAAACTCTCAAAATGATTATTTGTGAAATTGGTGACGTCATGTGCATGAGTATTACGTATTTGTGAAGTTTTTTTTTTACAAAGTGACATCGCCAACTACTGGCCTGGCATGCATAATACAGCGTTTTTAGTCATTTTAATGGATCCGTGTGAATGGGGATCGTTTTGACAATGTTGTCAAAATTAAAATCAAAGCACACTTTTGTAGTTTTTTTAGCAAATATATCCTGTTTTAAGGATGTCTATTTACAAACAAGGATATAAATAATGGATATAAATAGGGATTAAAAAAATATAATTGTTTGCACTGTGAAGGCTAGAACAAAAATGCATTTTTTTCAGCATGTTTATAACATAATTTTAATTATTTTGTAGTTTTAATTTTACTTTTGTTTTATAGGATGACTTTCTGTCCAGGGGAACTATAGCTGAAAAATAGCTTTTGTCTAAATCTGGCACATATACAGTAATGTTTATTAATGTGCACTGTCCCTGCAAAACACTAATAAATAAAAATAAATACATTTTTACAGTTAAAATGTGTTTAAAACAAGGTAAATCAAGTGGGAAGTGTGCAGTAAGAGAAAATATACTTGTGTTAAAAATGCACTCTATAAAATTCTTAACAATTCTTAACATCTTATGAAGAGTTGCATCTCAAAAAATGTATCTTGTTTTAAAGATTTTTACCGGAAACCAAGTAACAAAATAAAACAACAACAACAAAAGACTAATTAAGGAGTCATTTTTGCTGTGTGTGGGTGTGCAAAAACTACTAACTAGAAACTCATGACTGTAGACTTCAAAGGAAGTCATGCCGCAGAGCACTTGTAAATACAGCATTGAGCAGAGATGACATGGTTTTAGGTCAAATATGTGTGCTGGGGCCAGTCAGACTGAATGTATATTTACCCTGCTGGAGACCAGGCCTGAGTGACTGACATACCCCACTGGAAACCGTGAGAGATGAATTGAGCCTCAGGGGGAAGGGGATCATGGAAACTCAGATGAAACACTCTATCACTTTCAGATGCACACACACACAAACCTTCCACCACTAATATTCACAATTTTCAACCGTTTACATGATGGAAGGCTGCAAATGTAGCAGAAAATATAATAATGGCTCGTTCATCATATCCTTACCGTTGTAATCTACACTACCCATCC